CCCCCCAGAAACTCATTGAGAATCTGAAAGCAGTTAATAGAGATTTAAAACTATTGGTCTTTCAAAGTTTTTCATCTGACTTCTATAAGACATGGAGGTTTAGGAATATATAGTAACATATGGTATAGTACCTTCACCATGCATTTATCACATTGCAGTATTTACTAATAACTAGCAGTCAGTAGATATTTTCTAGATAATATAGTTTACTTCAGGTGAACATCTGTAAGCTGCCTCTTGCAAACACTTTGAGCAACTAAGACATACTGAGATATTCTTAGGGCCTTCTAGGAAGATAACCAAGTTTAAGCCCATTGCTGCAGCCTTGAAGGAGCACTTCCCAGATGCTGTGTGTATCACAGGGTGCAGAGGATGTAACATTCAAGGTGTTGCTATCATAACCAGTGTGCTTCCACACCAACCTCTTCCATGCTCTTGTCCCACTCACTCTATGACCCTCAACAGAAGTGTCCTACACCCCTGAACAAGAGGTGCCTCAGGAGATTTGCAAGCACTCAACCACTCATTCTACCGGAAACATCTGCTGGGATTAGTGCAAATCTCAATAAAAATGCACACACAATTCCTATGTGAATAAAAAAATTACTGGTTTTAGGAAACTCAAGAACTTCTGTAAGTATTCAGGAGCTCCATCTGCTGGCAGTGTTTGGTAGCTGTTTGCACTTACACTGAGTTCTGAAAAAAAACTTTAGTAATAATAGCTTAAACTCTGTTGTAAAGCTTACACATGTTTTTGAAATATTACCTCTTTACTTTTTAATTCAGGAGCTGCCTAAACATCTGGCTAGTTCTATGCTTGTTTCCAAAAACCTGTGCATCAAATCCTTCAAAACCCAATTTTTTACTGATACTGGCTGATGATCTTGGTATTGGAGATGTGGGTTGCTATGGCAATGATACAATAAGGTAAGAATGTATTCTATGAATTAAATTATCCCTTCCTGGTGAATTTCAGTGGAAAAAACATTGATGGCACTTAATATTAGAAAATTTATTATTATGGATTAGTTTACGTAGATATACTTTTCAAAGTATGTACAAAATAAATGTTCTACAGTAATTTCTGCTGGAGTAATAATTATACAGGCATGCTTGAGCAACTTTCTTGGACTTCTAATTTTCAGCATATACTGTCAGAACTCTGTAAATATGTCCATGCACTGTATTTGTTGGACATGTGCATAATTTTTAAGTTTTCACAACTCCAGGTTTGAAATATCAAGGATGGAGATTAGGATTTAATATCACTAACAACTCTAGTAGGCTTGTTATGAAATGACAGCTCAGTCTATATGATATATTTCTCCCTATTGCAGTTATCAGTCTATCATTGATTGATAGAATGATCGCATATATATCCTGTGTTTACTCTAACCTACTATAGTCTTGGAAGCTGTGTCATCCTGTATCTATTAATGGAATCTTCTTCACTAAACTGCATGAGCTTTTGATATGGGAGAGACCTGAAATACCTTTTTGTTTTTCCTTTTTTTAAATAAAAACACATGTATGCATGGAAAATTCATTTCTAAGGAGTGAAGGTATCACAAAAAATATGTAACACAGAGCTTTCCTAGCTGAGTTATGGATAAACAGAGAGATTTATAAATTTGATGGTGATGTCTGTGAGAAAACTAGGAGAAGCAGGATACCACAAACTTCTGTGTAATACATTTTCATTAGAGATGGGATTTTTCTCTGTAGGACCCCTAACATTGATGGCCTGGCAAAGGAAGGAGTGAGACTTACTCAGCACATTGCTGCAGCTGCTGTCTGTACTCCGAGCAGAGCAGCTTTCCTGACTGGCAGATACCCCATCAGATCAGGTTGGGGCACTCTCTAATGGTTCACTGCAGTTTGTCTAGCCATTATTGCTCTTTAAAATCCCTTTAAATAAACCATTTTAAAGACTAGTTAATCTAAGGATTCAGGGTCTTGGTGAGATGGGCAAAAATAAAGATGACTAGATTTAGTGATTGATTTCAATGGGAAAAATTACAACACAGAAATAGATGAAAATCCAAACAACACAAAGCACCCAGAGTAGAAACGGGAAGAAGACAATTATGTGAACAGTTTATGTTCAGTGGTATTAAGATTATATTAATTAAAGTGTAATATTTTGAATATCCTGACATATGTTTTCAGAGTGAAATGTGTCAGACTGTGGAATAGTTCACAACAAGAATGTTTTGAAACAGATTTACTTCAGCCATGTACATTCATGACAGAAAACTTCAGCCCACCACATGTGGCAGTAATAGTGCAGCTCCTCTGATGTGATTCTGACTTGCTATAGGAGAAATGTAATCATGAGCTGTACATTTCAGAAGTGTATACCCTTTTGTCTATACAAAAAATTTTTTTTCCTTTTTTTTTAAACATTATATTTTGATAGAACTTTATAAGAGGTAGCCTAATGTCCAAACATAGGCATCTTGGTGCCATTTGTAGACACCCCAGCATAGCTGAGGCATCTGCATTGGATGAGCAGGTAATGACATGGAACTTGGAGAACACATCATTCTGGGGCTCAACCAGATTATCCCAGGGCATACTAAATGGCTTGTAAAAAGGCACAAGGCTTAGGCACCTGAATCCCTTTCAATGAGAAAGAACAACCTGAGAAGGCTGAAAATCTGCCATGTGGCTTGTTTTATTTTAAAGACTGTTATTCCTCTCTAGGCATGGCATCTAGCACGCAACGGCAGGTTCTCTTTTGGAATGGCTGTTCTGGTGGGCTCCCACCAAATGAAACTACTTTTGCCAGAATACTGCACCAGCAAGGTTATTCTACAGCACTTGTAGGTATGAGACATAGCAACTTGCTGCCTTGTCATTGCTTGTTATTCAAATTAGGCTGCTTCTGTAAATATTTTTCTTTGCCCAAATGTCTAGGATCAGTTAAACTAGAGTTTCTTGTATACAAAACTTTCGAAATCAGCAGGTCTTCTAGAAGGTCATCCACAACAAGCCCCAATGCCAGTACAGCATAGCTGATAAATCCAAAATGAGGATGTATGGAAGGTGTACAAGGTACGTACAAGGTGTACACTGCAAACAGAAGTCAATGTAAAGGAAAGAATCTTGTTTGCCCAGTGCAGATTACTTTAGGAAGAACCAACAGAGAGATTAATTGATCTGTCAGAAAGAGAAAAATGTTGTCTGCCAGCTGATACCCAGACACCACAGTGGTCTTAGTTGTACCTGGTGGCTGGATTTTCTGTTATTTGTGCATCCTGCTAATTATCACAGTTAAGACTCTAAAAGTGCCTTCATTTTCTGCAAAGGCAATTCTGCAAAGAAGCTGAGAAAATCTCATTGACTTCAGAGGATTTTGTATCAGAATACATGTTCAAGAAAGAAAATCCTACTAACTCTTTGCTAATTTTGCCTGAAAAACAATTAAAGGTTGTGTCTTACAAGCACCTCAATGTAGTCAAAGGTGTCATGTGCTTTATTGTAATTACAGTGATTTTCCCACCTCTGCTTGGCACTGGCACACTGACATGTCATTTAGTTCCCAAATTGAATTGAGTCTCGGTGATGTACTGACTGCACACAAGCCTATGCAACAGG